TAATATTCAAAATCGTTCTCGTAATAATTTCCAGCACCGAAGTGCAAAACCGGATTTTAAAACTTTGTAACCACTAAAAAAAATGAAAATGGTAAAAAAAAATGGAAATGGTAAAAAAATTAGAAAAATAATTTAGTATCGATTTTTTTATTTTTTTATATAATTTTATATGTCATTTAAATAATTAATTTTATTTATTTATTTAAAATTTATGATATTATTAACACTTAAATAATTCAGTGATTATTTTTTTTTGCTGAAATAAAAGATTTTGAATTTAAATCATATGATATGCGAGTGAAGTGAGATAAGAGATAAAAAATGGTTATCTCTCATTGTGTAACTAAAATAAAAAAAATTATGATATTAAATATATATATTTATTTATTTAATAATATATACAAATTATATAAAAAAATAATAAAAATTATGATTATACGCTAATCTCAAATTTTTTACCACGGTTGACTAGATACCATATCAGCTTTGGGGTCCATTGTGCAGAGTAAACCCCACACTCGGTTGGTTTGTCGCCCAAATATCATTTTCCCTAAAAAGGAACGGGAAAATGCTTGGTCGTGGTTGATAGATGGTCGGGCAGACCCCGGCAACGGAGAAAACGATGTCGGAGCTGGTGGGGCCGGAGTTGGTGGAGAGGAGGAAAAGCTGCATTTTTTCGAAGCTGATAGTGGCTTCCATTCTTCAGGAGAAGAAGCTAGTTAAGTAAACTTCCCTGATACTTTCTCTCTCTTTGTTTGGTTGCTGAGAAAGTTGAAAGGCTTTTTTATCTTCATCTTTCCTTTTTCCTCCTCCCCTTTAGGCTTTAGCCGCGATTTTTTTTTTTTTATTATTTTTGCTTGTTTGCTGGGAAAATTGGAGAGAAAAATTTTAAGGACTAGGGATTTTATTGGAAAAATTTTAACTTAGTTCAGCCTTTACCTCTCTCCAGGATAGCTGTGACTGTGAGGATCTAATCTTGATTTTGTTAATTTTCATCTGATATGGTAATTGAAAATAAAAAGAAAATACTTCAAACTTTGTTTGGTTGCCGGGAAAGCTGATTTCACTTGGAAGATGTTTGAAATCTTTTTCATAGTTACTAATGGTCAATAATTTTGATTTTAGTATTGAAAGTTGTCTGGAAATTGTGATTTATTAATTATATTAATCATGAACAGCATTGTAATTATTTATGGAGATGAATATGGTATCTTCCTTGATCTCATTTGATTTAGGACAATTATAGGGAGTTTAATAATTGATTTGATATCATGGGAGATTGTTTTTCTTTCACAGACTGAGCATTTAGTTTTTGTTCTCAGAGAATCCCACATAAATTAATTAAGAAATATGGAGATGAACTTTCTTCTGTTGCTATTCTGACTGTTCCTGGTGGTCGAGTCTGGGTGGTGGAATTGAGGAAAGCTAAGCAGAAGTTATGGTTAGAAACTGGTTGGCAACAATTTGTAGAATTCTACTCCATTTGTGTGGGGTATCTCTTGGTCTTCAAATATGAAGGGAATTCGTGTTTCACTGTCCAGATATTTGATCTGACAACTTCCGAGATAAAATATCCATGTAGTTCTCGAAATAGTTCACAAGAACCCAGTAATGGCAAGCTCTGTCATGTTCAGCAGGTTATAGATGTAGAAGATGGTGACTCTGCTGAGACTATAGGTTCTGGCCCTACATGTCTCAGTTCTATTTCTTTGGTAAACAAAGATTTTGACGAATCTCTGGAGCATGATTGTGCTAAATGTAAAAACTCTGCACTTGGAGCTAGTTCAAGGAACTTTTGTCTAGGACAAGAAGCTAATGATTTTCAAGCAACTTCTCTGTTGACTCGAGATATAGGGATTCAGTTCAGCGGAGCTGAGCTGATGAGTAATACAGATGAATCTGAACTGCAATTCTTGCATGAAGCGAAAAGAATAAAGCAAGAACCTGAACCTGGTAAGATCCATATGCTTGGATAATCTTCTATCTTCTCTTTTCTTGTATCCACACATTCTTTTTGGCTCTCTGAATAAACTTCCTTCTTCTTATTGATTGAAGATTCAGTGGTCCATGTGGAGCCATTAATCAAATACAAGGTAAAAGAGGAGTTCCCTGATTCTGGGATTTACAATAAGAGGAAGAGAGTTGTGACAACTGAAGAAAGAGAGAGTGCAATTCGTGCATCTGCAATGTTCACGCCTGAAAATCCCTTTTGCAGAATAATCTTGCGGCCATCATACGTATATAAGGGATTGCTTATGGTTAGTCCTTTAAAGCTGCTTGCTTAAATTTATGATTTTGCTTTGAGTCATGCATAAATGAAGTTTGCCTCCTTTTTGCTTCTGCAGCATGTCCCTGCCAGCTTCGCTCGAGCTTGTCTAACTGGTGCTGAGTTCATTACACTTGAGGTATCTGAGGGGAAAAGGTGGCGGGTGCGATGTCTTTCTGGGACTAGAGGAATGAAATTTAGCAAAGGATGGCCTGAATTCGTCTGGGACAACAACTTGACTGATGGAGATGTTTGCGTATTTGAGCTTATTAATGCAAACGATTTTGTGCTGAAAGTTACCATATTCCGGGTTCTTGAATGTGCAGGGTCAATAAATCAATAATCATGACTAAATCAGAATGCTGAGCTGGGCTATATCATATCAGGTACATCCCTTTTCTTATTTTCCCTGCTTTTCTGTCAATTTGTCAGGGGATAGTAACTCTATGCTAAAAAAATTTTGTTGCAACCTATAGGAGATTTATGGAACAATGTTTCAAGTTGTATGGTGTTTTTATTGATCGTGTAATACTGAACTCAACCAGAATTGGTATAACTTTTATTTCATCTTCATCCTTGCTACCATATTATAGACATCAATGTGAGCATCCTCTTTCTACACTGGCCACTGGGTAACTTCAAATTGTCTTTTGTTTGGTGAAGTAACAGTATTAAAAATAATCAATGATGATGATATTGCTTGCACAATTTTATGACCTCTGTACCATTTTAGGATTGAAACTATTTTCAATACTCTCTACTTTCAAATGTGATCTCCAATATGTACACTTAGGATGGTGATTAACATAAAGGAAGGACAGCCAAGTAGGAAAATATCGTCAAAAAATACCTATATGCTATGTTCTACATTCCATTTGGCAGTCATTTACAATAAGTAAGTCTGACTGATTCTGGTTTTTTTTCAGGAACTCGCTACACAGGCATAAACTCTGTATATTAACCTGAATAGGTGTTTAAATTAATGTGAAGGGAAAGTGAAGTCGGTAGCATTAGTTTATGTTGGTGTACGTAGCAGGCAATGTCTTTGACTATTGGCATCTATGTTCCATGCAATTATTCAAAAATTTCCAGAATCTCATGCTGGAGAAATGTTTAGTGATTTTTTTTTTTCCCCTATGAATGTTTAGTGATGATATGAACCCTCTCTGTGATTAGCTTCATTCACAGTTAATCCATCTTTTTTTATTTTTATTAAAGATAAATATTGAAGTGTTTATTTTTAGGTACTTAATTATGTAGATTTTTTTTATTTTCTAACTCAATATATATAATGTAATTTAAATTTAAAATTTTTTACTTTTATTGAAAGAAAGATATTATTATTAAACTATTTAAATTCTTTTGCATAAATGCCTTTATATTACACCCCTTCACAAGTCTAATCTCCCCTGCTCCTCCCCTGTGAATCCATAATCATGTATCCTTCCGTAAGACATACTGTAATATATACATTCTCAGTAGCACCATAACCGGGAGATATTCCTCATTCACAACAGAATTTCTAAACAAGTCATCATTCTCCTTTGCTAACTACTAGATTGTCCATATAAAAGCAAGCCATAACAAACTCCACACCTTCTTAACAGTTTTGTCCCACGCATATGTAGCAGCTCATCCAAAGACTATATGCTACATCCACTAGGGCAGTTAAGAAACAAATGCTTTTGCATATCTTCCAAAGTTAAACCACAAAACCCACACACGGTAGTATTTTCATCTCGCAAGATTCCTCTTCTGACTAGGTAACTCTCATTGGGATTCTATCTTGGATAAGTTGCCAAGAAAAGGCGCATATCCTCAAGGGGTCCGAGGGGTTCCACCATCATTTCATGGAATAACTAATTAACTTCTAAAAAAGATATGTGAAAAGATAACAATTTAAAACTTAGTATGTTTGGTTTAAAGGGAATGAAGAGGAAGATCTTTTTATAAATTAAATTATAATATTTAAAAACGATATAATTTAATTTATAAAAAGAAAAAACCTTCTTTTCTTCTCTATTCTTCTCAAACCAAACATACAATAAACTTGAAAAATAATGTTTTAGAGGAATAATATAATTAAAAAAGGGAGAAATATCTATAGCCTGTTATATATAAAAACGAAAGACAGAGACAGTGGGGATTTGCTGGACTGGCTTGTATATTATTCAAGCTGCGTGCTGTACAAATAAATTATTGAAGTTGACATCCTAATGACCCTATTATAGAAGGAAATATAAGATATGAATAATGTTTACATGTGTATAGAAATAAATGAATGGAAATCGGAGATTGCTCAATGAGATGATTCTTTCCTTAATTAACATTATACACCTATATATATGTACAGAAAAGACTTTTTAATTAATAATTTAAGTCTCTACATAGCCAAAAATTACCCCCGAAAATCCGTACAGCTTTCTTCACTTCAATTTTGTAATTGGCTCCGGTTGCTACATCCATCTCCTTTTAAAACTTGACCTCATAACATGAAGATCATTGCAACGGACAAAAGCGAGCCAGTCGGAGCAGAAAACAGGTTTTGGGTGATTTTTCTTGCGGATTGAGCATTTGAACGTTCAGACTTGCCTACTTCTTGCATCCCTTTTTAAACAGTAGAGGGAGTACATATTGAGCTTAAAATGAAGTAAAGGGAAAACCAGAGGCAATTCCATGGTAAAAGGATTAGGTTGAATCGTTTTACAAAATAGAGAGTCGTGGCTTTAACCATTTTTTATTTATAAGTCGAGCTGAAGTGGAATGAGAAACGCCAAATAAACAGAAACCTTTAAATGCTGCTGTCATGTTTCCAACAGTGATGATTCAACCAGCAGTTGTAAACTTGTAATTATATATCATAATGCAAAAAACTTTACCTCACGCCGTCTGTGGGAATCGAACCCACGACCACGTGGTTAAAAGCCACGCGCTCTACCGGCTGAGCTAAGACGGCCACCTGATATGCTGTCGATC